CTCAACCTGGGGTTAAGGATGTTATGTCAGTAGTGAGTGAACACACCAGTAGCTGACTCAACCTGAGGTTAACTGACTTTATGTCAGTAGTGAGTGAACACACTAGTAGCTGACTCAACCTGAGGTTAACTGACATTATTTCAGTAGTGAGTGAACACACCAGTAGCTGACTCAACCTGGGGTTAAGGATGTTATGTCAGTAGTGAGTGAACACACCAGTAGCTGACTCAACCTGGGGTTAAGGATGTTATGTCAGTAGTGAGTGAACACACTAGTAGCTGACTCAACATGGGGTTAAGGATGTTATTTCAGTAGTGAGTGAACACACTAGTAGCTGACTCAACCTGGGGTTAAGGATGTTATGTCAGTAGTGAGTGAATATAATGCTAGCTAGCTGAACTAGGAATGGAGGAACTTAGGCTAAAGATGAAGGTCTACCACACAATGAGGGAGACATGCCAGGTTTCTCTCACTTGATCACACAATATACAGGGCAAATACGTCAGGTCACGGCAGCAACAAACCTTTCATCACACACTACAGTACATCATGCAAAGACTACTGTCGGCAGAATGTGCGCAGGAGACCACATTTGGTTCAACGGGCAAGATGGCAACACTAGCAAAGTGCTGTGGAGCGCAAAGAGCATGGCGAGGCACCTAGACATATCTTCAGTGGTCCTGACTCTGTCTTGCCACCGGACCCAGATACAACACAGGCGAGAGAGTGAGGCAGCTAGGTGAATATCTTCAGTCGTCCTGACTCTGTCTTGCCACCGGATCCAGATACAACACAGGTGAGAGAGTGAGGCAGCTAGGTGAATATCTTCAGTCGTCCTGACTCTGTATTGCCACCGGACCCAGATACAACTTAGGTGAGAGAGTGAGGCAGCTAGGTGAATATCTTCAGTGGTCCTGACTCTGTCTTGCCACCGGACCCAGATACAACTCAGGTGAGAGAGTGAGACCCAGATACAAATCAGGTGAGAGAGTGAGACCCAGATACAACTCAGGTGAGAGAGTGAGACCCAGATACAACTCAGGTGAGAGACTGAGACCCAGATACAACTCAGGTGAGAGACTGAGACCCAGATACAACTCAGGTGAGAAACTGAGACCCAGATACAACTCAGGTGAGAGACTGAGACCCAGATACAACTCAGGTGAGAGACTGAGACCCATATACAACTCAGGTGAGAGAGTGAGACCCAGATACAACTCAGGTGAGAGACTGAGACCCAGATACAACTCAGGTGAGAGACTGAGACCCAGATACAACTCAGGTGAGAGACTGAGACCCAGATACAACTCAGGTGAGAGACTGAGGTCGACAACACTGCACAACTCTTCCTCACAATAATCCAAAACAGGTCATCTGGTCTCATCAGTCATCTTCGTACACATACTTATGAACAAGAGTGGTCATCTGGTCTCATCAGTCATCTTCGTACACATACTTATGAACAAGAGTGGTCATCTGGTCTCATCAGTCATCTTTGTACACATACTTATGAACAAGAGTGGTCATCTGGTCTCATCGGTCATCTTCGTACACATACTTATGAACAAGAGTGGTCATCTGGTCTCATCGGTCATCTTCGTACACATACTTATGAACAAGAGTGGTCATCTGGTCTCATCGGTCATCTTCGTACACATACTTATGAACAAGAGTGGTCATCATCATCTTGATGGACAACACACACAGTACATCACTGCTGTCAGCTGTCAAGTCATGTCCACCTTTCAGTACAAACTACAGTACATCACTGCTGTCAGCTGTCAAGTCATGTTTACCTTTCAGTACAAACTACAGTACATCACTGCTGTCAAGTCATGTCTACCTTTCAGTACAAACTACAGTACATTACTGCTGTCAAGTCATGTCTACCTTTCAGTACAAACTACAGTACATCACTGCTGTCAGCTGTCAAGTCATTCTACCTTTCATCACAAACTGCAGTACATCATTGTTGTCAGCTGTCAAGTAATGTTTACCTTTCATCACAAACTACAGTACATAATTGTTGTCAGCTGTCAAGTCATGTTTACCTTTCATCACAAACTACAGTACATCATTGTTGTTAGCTGTCAAGTCATGTTTACCTTTCAGTACAAACTACAGTACATCACTGTTGTCAGCTGTCAAGTCATGTCTACCTTTCAGTACAAACTACAGTACATCACTGCTGTCAGCTGTCAAGTCATGTCTACCTTTCAGTACAAACTACAGTACATTACTGCTGTCAGCTGTCAAGTCATGTTTACCTTTCATCACAAACTACAGTACATCACTGCTGTCAGCTGTCAAGTCATGTCTAGGTTTCATCACAAACTACAGTACATCACTGTTGTCAAGTCATGTCTACCTTTCAGTACAAACTACAGTACATCACTGCTGTCAGCTGTCAAGTCATGTCTACCTTTCAGTACAAACTACAGTACATCACTGCTGTCAAGTCATGTCTACCTTTCAGTACAAACTACAGTACATCACTGCTGTCAGCTGTCAAGTCATGTCTACTTTTCAGTACAAACTACAGTACATCACTGCTGTCAGCTGTCAAGTCATGTCTACCTTTCAGTACAAACTACAGTACATCACTGCTGTCACCTGTCAAGTCATGTCTACCTTTCAGTACAAACTACAGTACATCACTGCTGTCAGCTGTCAAGTCATGTCTACCTTTCAGTACAAACTACAGTACATCACTGCTGTCAAGTCATGTTTACATTTCAGTACAAACTACAGTACATCACTGCTGTCAGCTGTCAAGTCATGTCTACCTTTCATCACAAACTACAGTACATCACTGCTGTCAGCTGTCAAGTCATGTCTACCTTTCAGTACAAACTACAGTACATCACTGCTGTCAAGTTATGTCTACCTTTCAGTACAAACTACAGTACATCACTGCTGTCAGCTGTCAAGTCATGTCTACCTTTCAGTACAAACTACAGTACATCACTGCTGTCACCTGTCAAGTCATGTCTACCTTTCAGTACAAACTACAGTACATCACTGCTGTCAGCTGTCAAGTCATGTCTACCTTTCATCACAAACTACAGTACATTACTGCTGTCAGCTGTCAAAAAGTCATGTCCACCTTCCAACACAAAATGTCAACTCAGATGTCAACTGCTAGTATTCAATCACATGTCAGCTGATATTACTAAATGTCAGGTACTATGTCTGAGAAGTCATTAATTTACTACTTTAAAAAAAAAGCATAGCTACTGACAGGAACATAATTTGCTCATTCACAATATGTAATTTAATTAGCGAAACTGTTCAAATTGCACACTAGAATACCTTAGGCTTTAACAAATCAACAGAAAGTTCTTTTGCATCTGGGTCATCAATAGTTTTCAGGCTTCCCCATCAACTAATGGAAACTCACCATCGCATAAACTAAGTCTTTAAACAGTACTGATGTCAGATCTGACTTTCTAATGTCAGTGTCAAAACAGAACGCAAATTGTAGGATTCAGTGGCTGGGATCAGTGTCAGGATTCAATGTCATCTGTTAGTGTCAACACTAAGTGCCAGGTGTCAGGATTCAATGTCATCTGTTAGTGTCAACACTAAGTGCCAGTTGTCAGGATTCCATGTCATCTGTTAGTGTCAAAACTAAGTGCCTGGTGTCAGGATTCAATGTCATATGTTAGTGTCAACACTAAGTGCCAGGTGTCAGGAATCAGTGGCTGGGATCAGTGTCAGGATTCAATGTCATCGGTTAGTGTCAACACTAAGTGTGAGGTGTCAGGATTCAATGTCATCTGTTAGTGTCAACACTAAGTGCCAGGTGTCAGGATTCCATGTCATCTGTTAGTGTCAACACTAAGTGCCAGGTGTCAGGATTCAGTGGCTGGGATCAGTGTCAGAATTCAATGTCACCTGTTAGTGTCAAAACTAAGTGCCAGGTGACAGGATTCAATGTTATCTGTTAGTGTCATCACGAAGTGCCAGGTGTCAGGATTCCATGTCATCTGTTAGTGTCAACACTAAGTGCCAGGTGACAGGATTCAGTGGCTGGGATCAGTGTCAGAATTCAATGTCACCTGTTAGTGTCAAAACTAAGTGCCAGGTGACAGGATTCAATGTCATCTGTTAGTGTCAACACTAAGTGCCAGGTGTCAGGATTCAATGTCATCTGTTAGTGTCAACACTAAGTGCCAGGTGTCAGGATTCAATGTCATCTGTCAGTGTCAACACGAAGTGCCAGGTGTCAGGATTCCATGTCCATGATCAGAGCTAGATGTAAGAGACAGATGATGTTAAAGAAGTCACGGGGGTCTTCAATTGTGTGATGAGAACATTAAAACATTGTTTTGCTTCACCAGTGGACCATAAGAGACATGCACTGAATATCCAATGAATCATGACCGCTCATCAAGGCCCATCCATGTGTACAGACAGACAAACACAAACTCAGGTCTTATGTGTACAGGGAATCCAAAGAACAAGCAACTTCATCACAGTGTCAAAGAATCGTCACGGTTGGTGTTGTCACTGTCGCCAAGTATGAAGCTCAGCTCTGGGCTGCAGCTTGCCAGTCACAGAATCGTCACGGTCGGTGTCGTCATCACTGTGGTCAAGCAAGATGTTCACCTCTGGGCTGCAGCTTGCCAGTCACAGAATCGTCACGGTCGGTGTCGTCATCACTGTGGTTAAGTCAAGCATAATGTTCAACTCTGGGCTGCAGCTTGCCAGTCACAGAATCGTCACGGTCGGTGTCCTCATCACTGTGGTCAAGCAAGATGTTCACCTCTGGGCTGCAGCTTGCCAGTGACAGAATCATCACGGTCGGTGTCATCATCACTGCGGTTAGGTCAAGCATGATGTTCAACTCTGGGTTGCAGCTGCTTGCCAGTCACAGAATCGTCACGGTCGGTGTCGTCATCACTGTAGTCAAGCATGATGTTCAACTCTGGGCTGCAGCTTGCCAGTCACAGAATCGTCTCAGTCGGTGTCGTCATCACTGTGGTCAAGCTTGATGTTCAACTCTGGGCTGCAGCCTGGGGATCACATTGCAGCAGGCGGACTATAGATGGGTCACTTTTGGCTCCTTCGATAAATTCGTCTATAGAGAGCTTTCCATCCAGGTTCTTGTCCATTTGGCGGAAGATTTTGTCTGTGCGTTTCTCGGGCGTGGACTCGTCATCTGGCATCTTCATGACTGTGCCGACCATTTTGTATATTGCCTGGAGATGAAATAATCAAGGTCAGCAGTTGTTGAGACAAGAAGATGAAACAATAATCAAATTGAGCCGCTGTTGAGACAAGAAGATGAAACAATAATCAAACTGAGCCGCTGTTGAGACAAGAAGATGAAACAATAATCAAACTGAGCCGCTGTTGAGACAAGAAGATGAAACAATAATCAAACTGAGCAGCTGTTGAGACAAGAAGATGAAACAATAATCAAGCTGAGCAGCTGTTGAGACTAGAAGATGAAACACATCACAGACAGCAGCTGTTGAGACAAACAGATGAACAATGATCAAATTGAGCAGCTGCTTAGAAGGAAAAGAAACAATGATCACAGACCACAGCTGTTGAGATAAGAAGATGAAATAATTAGCACAGATAGCGGCTGCTGAGACAAGGAGATGAAACAATGATCAAATTATTTCTATGCATGTACATAATACACATACACACCCATATACATACATTCATATTCATGTGTGTAGTACATGTGTGTGTGTGTGTGTGTGCAAACGCGAGAGGACATACATATATATATACATGTGTGTGTGTTTGTGCGTGCGCACCACACACATAAATATATATATATATATATATATATATAGTAACTGATATACGTGCACATGCATACACATATTCATACATATGCAGACATACTTACACAACAGAAACACACTCTTACATCACTTACAGCGACAAGAGAGGATGTTAGAGAAGACCTACAATGACAAGAGAGGATGTCAGAGAAGACATGAGACATGGTGATGAAAGAGTGAGTCAGAGAAGACATGAGACAGGGGGATGAGAGAGTGCTAAAATAGGATGTCGGAGAAGACTTACAGTAGTGAGAGAGGATGTCAGAGAAGAGCTACAGTGATGAGATGGATGTCAGAGAAGACTGACAGTGGTGAGAGAGGATGTCAGAGAAGACCTACTGTGAAAAGACAGGATGTCAGAGAAGACCTACTGTGAAGAGACAGGATGTCAGAGAAGACTTACTGTGAAGAGACAGGATGTCAGAGAAGACTTACAGTGATGAGATGGATGTCAGAGAAGACTTTCAGTGATGAGATGGATGTCAGAGAAGACCTACTGTGAAGAGACAGGATGTCAGAGAAGAGCTACAGTGGTGAGAGAGGATGTCAGAGAAGACTGACAGTGGTGAGAGAGGATGTCAGAGAAGACTTACAGTGGTGAGAGAGGATGTCAAAGAAGACCTACTGTGAAGAGACAGGATGTCAGAGAAGACCTACTGTGAAAAGACAGGATGTCAGAGAAGACTTACAGTGATGAGAGAGGATGTCAGAGAAGACCTACTGTGAAGAGACAGGATGTCAGAGAAGACTTACTGTGAAGAGACAGGATGTCAGAGAAGACTTACAGTGGTGAGAGAGGATGTCAGAGAAGACTCACAGTAATGAGAGAGGATGTCAGAGATGACTCACAGTAATGGGAGAGAAAGTCAGAGAAGACTCACAGTAATGAGAGAGAAAGTAGGAGAAGACATGAGACATGGTGATGAGAGAAGATGTCAGAGAAGACAGGAAACTTACCGTGACTATCTCTAACATCTCCTGTCTGGAGATGTACCCGTTGCCATCCAGATCGTACATACTGAATGCCCAGCGAAGCTTTTGCTCCAGCTTGCCTCGAGAGGTTACGCTTAGAGCACAGATAAACTCCCGAAAGTCTATGGACCCATCACCATTGGTGTCAAATGTACGAAACACATGCTCAGCAAACCGGGAGGCGTCCCCATAAGGAAAGAAGTTGCCGTAGATCTTCTTAAACTCCTCCACAGACAGATGTCCGGTGGGACAGTCCTTGAGGAAGCCCTTGTACCACTCCTGCAGCTCCTCCTCTGTGAACTGTGTCTGATGGCGAAGGTCCTCCAAGACTTCAGGCTTCAGCTTGCTGTTCTGTTTGCCCATTCTGTGGCTCAGTCAATTCTTGGGCAGCTCCTGAGCAATGCTGGTTGGTTGCTGGTGCTTCAAGGGTTCAGGAAAGGTGTCTTCTACGTGCAAGGTGGTCAAGCTGGGGTCAGCTTATGGCCTACACGTCACAGACATAGAAGGTTCGTACAGGCCACAGATATCACCTGTGAACACACATATATCAACATATAACTGTGATGTTGGTGCAGGAGACCTATGTTTGTGTACTCTGTGTGTGTGTGTGCGTGCCTGTGACAACCGCGTGCCACTGGAGATGTGTGCCTCAAACTGCCACCAGTACCGGCACTGCCTGAGTTTGTGTAACCTGTGTTTAAAGATGGTTCATACACATACACATCAGTACATTCAAGCATCCATAGCTGATAGACAGGCATACACAAACACATCAGTATATTCAATCATCCATAACTGATAGATGGTTCATACACAAACACAAGACAACAGTGCACAGGACACCCTTTTAACGAAGACCAGCCTGAGAAGCATCCATAAAAGGTCAGCTAGTGTGTAGCTAGGCCCAAGTTCGTTACTACAACCTGTTTATGTTACAATTGCTTTGATTTGTCCGACCACACCCAGTGACCACGGCTGTGTGGATGACGTGAACAGTAGTCAGTGACAATATTATCTGGCAACCTGACACACTCCACACGGGGTGTGGGTAGCAACAGATATGTCTCGATCCCCGGGGCCGGGAAAAGGCGTTGAGTACTCAATATTGATGTCAATAGCAAGTAGCAGTGGCAAAGACAGTGTAAGGTGCTCAATATTTGAGTAGATGTTCGCACTAAATGCCCCCGGCTCATGGCACATATTGGTGGATTGCTGGAACTAATCCAGCAGACAGCAAATCTTAGCACAACAATATGGACCTGAGGTCAGGGGTGAGGTCAGGGGTGAGGTCAGGGGTGAGTTCACAAGTGAGATACAATTATGGAGAGGTGGTGAACAGTTACTGATCCTTAAATTTTGTCTCTCACTTGGTCTACAATTATCACACATTCTTGATTAGTCTATCCACTTCTACGCTAGGGTACAGTGTTCTTGTTTAGTCTACGCTCACCGATCCTAGGCTGATAGTTAACAGACAGTCTTGTTGAGTCTTCAAATGTTTGCAAGAACGCATGTGTGTATGTGATTGTGTGTGTGTGTGTGTGTATGTATGTGGCTATATGAAAGTATATTTAGGTTTGTAAGTATGTGTGTGTATTTATGTATGTATGTTGTAAGTATGTGTGATAGTATATGAGTGAATGTGTGATTGTGGGTGTATGTGTAAATAATGTATGCAAGTATGTACGTATGCATGTGTGTATGTAATATCTGTATGGGTGACTGTATATGTGTGTATGCATGCATGTGTGTGCATGTATGTAATGTATGTATGTATGTATGTATGTATGTATGTATGTATGTATGTATGTATGTATGTATGTATGTATGTATGTATGTATGTATGTATGTATGTATGTATGTATGTATGTATGTATGTATGTGTGTATGTATGTGTGTATGTATGTGTGTATGTATGCATGTTAGTTTATGTATGTTTGCGTATTTAGGTATGGATGTATGTATGTAAATATGTGTGTAAAGATGAGGAGTGTATGTATAAATGTGTGTATGTATGCATGTATGTATGTAAGCATTTATGTGAGTGTATGTATTCATGTAAGTGTAAATGTGTGGTTGTGGGCATATGTTGGTGTCTGTACATGTGATTGAATATGTGTGTATGCATGAATGCATGCATAAGTGTGTATGTATGGAATGTGTGTTAGCATGTATATCCATAAATGTATGTGTGTGTGTTTTCTGTTTGTGCATTTATGTTTATGTATGTGTTTTATGTTTGTGTATGTATGTAGATGCATGTGTGTGTGTATTATGTATGTCTGTATATGAGTGTGCATGTATGAGAACGTAGGAGTATGTATTCGTGTGTGCATGTGTGTGTGTGTATTATTCTATAATTTATATTTCTTTATTTTTTCTACAACATGCATTATTGTTAACAGGCATTGGTACTCTGAAAAATGAGAGCTTAGAAGGGCTGAATGTCAGACGGGTTTGCGAGCCCAATTTGTAATTCTTTGAAAAAAGTTTGTTTGTTCGTTCGTTCTACCCTGGGCTAAAAGTTAACAGAAAGTCTTGTTGAGTCTTCAACCCCGGGCTGAAAGACAACAGACAGTCTTGTTGAGTATTCTACCCCAGGCTGAAAGACAACAGACAGTCTTGTTGAGTCTTCTATCCCAGGCTTAAAAGTTAACAGACAGTCTTGTTGAGTCTTTTACCTTTGGCTGAAAGTTAGACTGTCTTGTTGAGTCTTCTACCCTTGGCTGAAATTTAAACAGACAGTCTTGTTGAGTCTTCTACCCTTGGCTGAAAGTTAAACAGACTGTCTTGTTGAGTCTTCTACCCTTGGAGTTTAGTCTACTTCTACCCTGGCTGAAAGTTAAAACAGACTGTCTTGTTGAGTCTCCTACCCTTGGCTGAAAGTTAGACAGTCTTGTTGAGTCTTCTACCCTTAGCTAAAAGTTAAACAGACTGTCTTGTTGAGTCTTCTACCCTTGGCTGAAAGTTTACAGAGTCTTGTTGAGTCTTCTACCCTTGGCTGAAAGTTAGACAGTCTTGTTGAGTCTTCTACCCTTAGCTAAAAGTTAAACAGACTGTCTTGTTGAGTCTTCTACCCTTGGCTGAAAGTTTACAGAGTCTTGTTGAGTCTTCTACCCTTGGCTGAAAGTTAAACAGACTGTCTTGTTGAGTCTTCTACCCTTGGCTGAAAGTTTACAGACAGTCTTGTTCAGTCTTCTACCCTTGGCTGAAAGTTTACAGTCTTGTTCAGTCTTCTACCCTTGGCTGAAAGTTTACAGTCTTGTTAAGTCTTCTACCCTTGGCTGAAAGTTTACAGTCTTGTTGAGTCTTCTACCCCAGGCTGAAAGTTAAACAGACAGTCTTGTTGAGTCTTCTACCCCAGGCTGAAAGTTAAACAGACAGTCTTGTTGAGTCTTCTACCCCAGGCTGAAAGTTAACAGACAGTCTTGTTGAGTCTTCTACCCCAGGCTGAAAGTTAACAGACAGTCTTGTTGAGTCTTCTACCCTGGGCCTAAGGTTAACAGACAGTCTTGTTGAGTCTTCTACCGCAGGCTGAAAGTTAACAGACAGTCTTGTTGAGTCTTCTACCCCGGACTAAAAGTTAACAGACAGTCTTGTTGAGTCTTCTAACCCGGACTAAAAGTTAAAAGACAGTCTTGTTGAGTCTTCTAACCCGGGCTGAAAGTTAACAGACAGTCTTGTTGAGTCTTCTACCCCAGGCTGAAAGTTAACAGACAGTCTTGTTGAGTCTTCTACCCTGGGCCTAAGGTTAACAGACAAGTCTTGTTGAGTCTTCTACCCCAGGCTGAAAGTTAATAGACAGTCTTGTTGAGTCTTCTACCCCAGGCTGAAAGTTAACAGACAGTCTTGTGGAGTCTTCTACCCCAGACTGAAAGTTAACAGACAGTCTTGTTGAGTCTTCTACCCCAGGCTGAAAGTTAACAGACAGTCTTGTTGAGTCTTCTACCCCAGGCTGAAAGTTAACAGTCTTGTTGAGTCTTCTACCCCGGACTAAAAGTTAACAGACAGTCTTGTTGAGTCTTCTGCCCCGGACTAAAAGTTAACAGACAGTCTTGTTGAGTCTTCTACCCCAGGCTGAAAGTTAACAGACAGTCTTGTTGAGTCTTCTACCCCGGACTAAAAGTTAACAGACAGTCTTGTTGAGTCTTCTACCCCGGGCTGAAAGTTAACAGACAGTCTTGTTGAGTCTTCTACCCCGGGCTGAAAGTTAACAGACAGTCTTGTTGAGTCTTCTACCCCGGGCTGACAGTTAACAGACAGTCTTGTTGAGTCTTCTACCCCGGACTAAAAGTTAACAGACAGTCTTGTTGAGTCTTCTACCCAGGGCTGACAGTTAACAGACAGTCTTGTTGAGTCTTCTACCCCGGGCTAAAAGTTAACAGACAGTCTTGTTGAGTCTTCTACCCCGGGCTGAAAGTTAACAGACAGTCTTGTTGAGTCTTCTACCCCAGGCTGAAAGTTAACAGACAGTCTTGTTGAGTCTTCTACCCCGGGCTAAAAGTTAACAGACAGTCTTGTTGAGTCTTCTACCCTTGGCTGAAAGTTTAGTCTTGTTGAGTCTTCTACCCTTGGCTGAAAGTTAAACAGACTGTCTTGTTGAGTCTCCTACCCTTGGCTGAAAGTTAAACAGACTGTCTTGTTGAGTCTTCTACCCTTGGCTGAAAGTTAAACAGACTGTCTTGTTGAGTCTTCTACCCTTGGCTGAAAGTTAAACAGACTGTCTTGTTGAGTCTTCTACCCTTGGCTGAAAGTTAGACAGTCTTGTTGAGTCTTCTACCCTTAGCTAAAAGTTAAACAGACTGTCTCGTTGAGTCTTCTACCCTTGGCTGAAAGTTTACAGAGTCTTGTTGAGTCTTCTACCCTTGGCTGAAAGTTAAACAGACTGTCTTGTTGAGTCTTCTACCCTTGGCTGAAAGTTTACAGACAGTCTTGTTCAGTCTTCTACCCTTGGCTGAAAGTTTACAGTCTTGTTAAGTCTTCTACCCTTGGCTGAAAGTTTACAGTCTTGTTGAGTCTTCTACCCCAGGCTGAAAGTTAAACAGACAGTCTTGTTGAGTCTTCTACCCCAGGCTGAAAGTTAAACAGACAGTCTTGTTGAGTCTTCTACCCCAGGCTGAAAGTTAAACAGACAGTCTTGTTGAGTCTTCTACCCCAGGCTGAAAGTTAAACAGACAGTCTTGTTGAGTCTTCTACCCCAGGCTGAAAGACAATAGACAGTCTTGTTGAGTCTTCTACCCTGGGCCTAAGGTTAACAGACAGTCTTGTTGAGTCTTCTACCGCAGGCTGAAAGTTAACAGACAGTCTTGTTGAGTCTTCTACCCCGGACTAAAAGTTAACAGACAGTCTTGTTGAGTCTTCTA